AGAGGAAGCTCAACTGCTAAAGGGGCCTTTGGGAAGCCTGGCAAAGACCACTGCTCATTCCCTTAAAAGAAAATCATCCAGATGGCCAATAAGGGATGTCCAGAACCTTCTGGATACTTCTTCCATTTTTCAGCCTTTTTGGACATAGCAGATATTCAAACCAGTTATTCTGTATTGCTCTGGTCTCCACTGGGGCTTCAAGTTCCTGAGCTGCAAACTCCTTAACTTACTTGCCTTAGTCTTTAGGCCTGTGGAATCTGTCTCTGTGCTCATTCTAGATTACTATAGCTTTGTTCTTCCTACCTCCTCTCTGAGATTGCCCTTTCTCCCACAAAGGCCATCTGCCTACCTGCCGGCCCGGCTCCCTGATGCCCTCTTGTGGATCTTTGCTTATAGCTTTTTTAACAAATTGTAAACACAAAGAAAGGGATAGGTTAAAAGAGAATGAAAAGCTACCCCACGCAGACACTCACACCGTTTGGAGGCTGTGTGAGTACTAAGCCAATGAATATTGGCGGGGGATGAGTAGTATAGAATAAAGGAAAGGTCAGTTCACGAAGAATACACGGCAGAGCTTTGTATGTATGCGGTGGCGAACATCATGCTTAGAGGATAAAGTTAAAATACGAGGCTTTTAATAACAAAATTGCCTTTATCATGTCTAAACCATGAGGAAGTTACTCTGACTTTGAATATACCCTGGTCAGCTGGCTCAAGATGGATCACTTTCTGGTGCAGTTGGGCTATTCTTAAAAAAAAAAAAATTGCTGATTGTTGTGAAATATTTCATTTCCTCAGCTATTCCTACAAGGTAATGGGCAAAAATGTCTTTGAGTTTTTGACACCTGGGGGGGCGGTGTCAATAAATGATAGAGTCCCAGTGCTTAGGGGAGTCATGAGCAGATACCTAATGGCTAGATGAAGGAGCATTGAGTCCCCGAGGGTTTCCAGGCTGGGAGCTGGGAAACAGAGAGAACTGGGGCTTGGGGGAGCCACCAGCAGGTTTTCAGAAAAGCAGAATTTGCTGCCCCTACTGAGGGTCTAAAATTGGGTCTAAAATAGACATACTGACAGTAGATAAGACATTGCCGCTATGCGTGTGCATGGGGCTATGAACCTGGAGAGGGAAAAGACATACAGATGCGCTATTATGGTTGTTTAGAAATATATATATATATACATATATATATGTATATATATATATAAACCCCTGATGCTTACAACTATGTATATATAAACATTGATTTTGCTCTAGATATGTATGTTAGTAATACTTATGCTTTCACTTAAAGGAAGCATTTGCAGTTCTTTTGCATCTCACAAACGGATTTAAGTGCTGGGACAATCAGCAGCTCTGGGGTACTGCAAGCACTTCTTATAACCCAAACCTCTGTGAACACTGTAGTGTCGCAGCCTCTACACTTCCAGGTACATGTGGGCAGGGGATTGTATCCTAGGCAGAGCAGAGTGGGAATGTGTGATCAGAATCCAAGCTGAAAATGAAGAATTGTATTTCTAGAATTTTCATTGGGAAGCCAGATCTCAATGAAGTCAGTTTTCCGAGAGGTTACTGGGGTATTGGTCTCTCATCCGGACCCCTTCCAGGCTAAGGGCTCTCTGTTTTGGATTGACTTGAGCACATACCTGGCATCTGGATGAAGCATCCTGCGCTAGGCTACCCAGTCTAGGAATAACACCTTGGTCTGAGCGACTCTGGCAGTTTTGTGCACCCCAGCTGAATACCCTGGTCAAGGTCAGTTACCAGAGTCTTTTTGTTGTTCCTGGGAGAATGTTCTTTCCCTCTGGTGTCCTCCACCAACCTTTGGGTTCGAGCTGTCCGTTTCTTCTTTACCGTAGATTCTCAGGTAGTACTGGGTCAGGGTATATCATCAGAATATCAAAAGAAATGCCTTTTGTTTAGTCTCAGTCCAGACTAGGGGCTCAGTGAACTGCCTTTTGCTAGTGTATAAAGGCCTTGCTATTTCCACAAACTCTGGTATCCAGAGGCAGCAACACCCAGCTGCACCCAGGAGCTTTCAAACCTGTCTCTTAATCTTTGTAGCTGGTGTCTGAAGGAAGGCAGCCGTTCTCTGAGACAGGGTCCTTTGCCTTCTCTCAGTTAGTAGCCAAGACAAGTAGACTCTGATGTACAAAGTTGGGCTTTCCTTGGAGTAGGACCTCAAGTACATTGTAGGGTGCTGTGAGTAGCAGATCTTTTCAGGCAGCCTGCTACTCTCTCGCCTGATAATATCAAAAAGATGGATCGCCTGACGCAATAGGTAACCGGGACACTTATCAGGGGCAAGTATGTTTTTGTGAGTTAGAGGCCAGTCAGATCTACATAATAGAAAGACCCTGTCTCAAAAAGCCAAGAGAGAGAGAGAGAGAGAGAGAGAGAGAGAGAGAGAGAGAGAGGAGAGAGAGACTCTATGATACAGAAGTACTTCTGTAAGATAAATTTCACCCCGACACCAGGTTTTTTTTTTTTTTTTTTTTTGGTTTTTCGAGACAGGGTTTCTCTGTGGCTTTGGAGCCTGTCCTGGAACTAGCTCTGTAGACCAGGCTGGTCTCGAACTCACAAGAGATCCGCCTGCCTCTGCCTCCCAAGTGCTGGGATTAAAGGCGTGCGCCACCACCGCCCGGCCTGACACAAGATTCTTAAAGGAATCTGTGGCATTTTGTTGAGTGTGGAGTACAATCGACATTTTATAAACTGTTAATACAAAATTACGCACTGTCCGGCTCCAGTCAGTTACCCTTGCCTGCTCTCTCCCAGATCTCCAAAAAGGCACCGCACCCATCCTTCACATCCACTGGAAGGACTTTTGGGACCATTTCTTTTTTTTTTTTTTTTTAAAAAAAAAGATCTATTTATTTTCATCTTTTTTGATTATTAAGTAATTTTTTTCTTGGAGTTCAAGGATGAGTTCACATACAAAACTAATTAATAAATGTAATAAAAATATTGGCAAACTGAAGGAGAAAATGACATAAATAATATTTCTATAATTTATCTAAACAGTCTAACCTAACAACGGGACACTACTTTAAGAAGTAGAGAAAAACGTCTTAAATTACATGACAGTAAGCATGACAAGCCTGCGCCAGCGTAAGTGAATTCTTATTTCAGAACGGAAACTGAGCCAGGTGTGGTGATTTAAGCTCATCATCCTGGCACTGGGGAATCTAAGTGCTTGGAGCACAAATCATTTTGTAGAAGAAGCATTTTGCTAGCTTGGAACAATGTGAAGCTTGCAAGATGTGTTTAAGGGAGGCAGCCACAGGCGGCTCCAATATGAATCAAGCCTAAGGCAGATTCTAACATGTTAAGGAACTAACACCAAGGTGGTAGCTCAGATATATCAATGAAACAACCCCAAGGTGGTGTTAACAAGTTCATGAACTGGCCCTAAGCTGTGAACACAGATTGGGCAGAACCAATGTCCACTAGACAACACAGGAAGTTGGACCTTTGGATCCTGAAAATCAGGATCGCACCGCTGTGCTTCCCAGCCATAGCATCTCACGAAGTGGCCTCAGTGGATGCAGAGGCAGAATTGTAAGGATGTCCTAGTGTATAGCTGCTATATCATAATCTGTACACTGCGTCCTTAGTGTCAGAACCAGAGTCTAATCTCCTGTGAAGAGAAATGGAATCGAATATTTGGGACTGGAGGTCAACTGAAGAGCGCTTAGCAGAATGCACCAAAACCTGGATCTAGTTCCCACCACTGCAGAAAACCAGTTGTTGGGCATCTTCACATAATCTCAGCATTCAGAGGTAGAAACAGGCATCAGGAGTTCAAGGTCGTCCTCATCTACATAGCAGTTTGGGTCACATAATAAACAGAAGTTCAAGGCCAGCCTGGTCTACATGAGACCCAGTGTCCAAAATAAAGGAATCTTCCTCTATTATTCAATTCTGTTATATAGCAGAACAGTGCTAAAAATTAAATTGATGCAATGAGCAATTAAAAAAAATGCCGATCCATTGCAAAACATGACACATGATGTTGTAAAGTTTGTGAAGTATTTTTTACCATCTAGCATACCTAACATTTGAGTGGATCTCTGGAAACCTTATTTGCAGCTACCCAGACTAAGTTATTTTTCTCTGGAATGTATCTATTCCTCCCAAGGGAGATCCCCAACTATTACTATTCAACACTTAAACACAGGAACTGGGGGTGCAGCTGGGGGCAGCCTTGCACCTATGAGGCCATATGTTAATCGCCCATCACTCTAAACTATCCATTGTTGAAATCCTATTCTTCTCTGTTTTGTCACTCACCAAACTGCCCGGTGCTCACAGTCCTTTTTTTCCTTCCCTCCACCTCCCCAAGCCCTATAATTGCATGAGTGTTTTTTATCTATAGAATTATCACACTGCCTGTAACTACGTATATATGCAATATATGGTGAGATCGTTTTGGATAATTTCCTGCTGCCAATTCCCTTTGCTGTCTTATGTTTGATCAATGCTATGGGCATGTGTGTTCAGAGTTAAAGTCTTTACAGTTTTCAGATCTTGCAGCATAAATATTTTGGCGTCATAAATGGCCTTACCATATCACTTTGATAAATAAGGACCACAGCATTTGAAGAATTTGAGAGGAGCCAGGAAAGGTCCCTAACATTTTAACAAAGTTGGGAGAATGCTAGCCACATAACATTCTAATGCGACTGATTCCTAATATACCATGCTTTCCCTGTTATCCTAGTACCTGAGCTGAGTCTAGCATAGAGAGCTTGATGGTGTTCAAGAAGTTTTCCTCCCTTCCTGAACTGTAGAGCTTCATCCTCCTTTGATTTTTATAACAGTTCACCTGACTGAGAGTCTGTGCGCATGCCCAGCACTGATGGCCACAGGGTGGGGAGAAAGCTCCTGGTGCGTTTCTCCTCATGGCCGCCAGGGGTCAGCAGCGGCATTGGGAGACCAGGGAAAGTGCTTAGGCGCCACAGCAGAGAACCCCGCGGAGCCTAACTAGAGAACACTAACCAGGCCCTTCAGAGCGCTCTCGAGACTCTCCAAAGGGACTCCTGGGATAACTGCCGTTCTTCAGAGCTAACGGACTTCTTTCGGCCGCGGCTGCAGACCCCAGTTAGGGCACAGTGAGAGGAGGCACTGGATACCGGCTGGGCGCTATCGCTGCCTGTGTGTGTGCAGCACTGGCGCCATCCCGCGTCCACCCCAAGGCTGCGGAGGAAGCAGCCTGAAGACTCCCAAGGTAGCTTAAGCCAGATCTCGGGGCAAGCGTTTGATTCTCTTTTTGCTTCTCTCTCTACTCCTTTGCGGTCTCCCACCCATCTCTTGCCCCAGGTCCTCCGGTCCCTCCAGGGGCTAACGCCTCTGCCTTCTGGGCCAGACAATACAATCTCAGTCTCTCCAAGGAGACTTGCTGGTGACTGCAGGACAGAATTCGCCCTTCGAAAGCAAGCATGGAGCAGCCAGAGAATGTCCACCATGAGCGGTTTTAAAAATCACAAAGAGACCAAAGCTAAGCATGAAAGTCAAGGCAAAGGTAAGGATGGGAGCAGCTGCCTTGCTCCTCTGTGTGCCTGCTTGTTTTGTGTTCTTGGGGTTCATTGTGGAACTTGGTGTCTTCACCAGCTGGAGGTGACCAGGGAAAGGCTGGGCTCCTGACTGAGGCACCGAATTGCCCTCCAAGCCGGTCCTAACTTGCTCAAACCCACTGGGCCAGGATACCAGGTAGCTTCCAAGGGCTTCCTGTCTCCAACATCGAGACATCCGGCTGGAGTTTGAGTGACCTTTTTTCTTAGGTCTCTTCCACTGTCCATGCCCAGTTCTTAGGTTCAGGAATTCAGGGAGCCTGCCCTGCCCTGTACTGAGGCCAGACTTTACCGACCACCCCACGTACTCACCACCGCCTGTGTCCTGCTAGTCCGGTGTCAACTTGACACACACACAGTAGAATTATCTGAAGAGGGAGAAGATTCCTCCATAATAATCAGTTGTAAGACATTTTCTTAACTAGGAAAGGGTAGGGGAGGACCCAGCACTTTGTGGGTGATTACATCTCTGGCCTGATTCTTGGGTTCTGTAAGAAAGCAGGATGAACAAGCCACGGAAGACAGCCAGTAAGTACCACAGCCTCTGCCTCAGCTATTGCCTACAGGATCCTGCCCTGTCCGGTTCCTGTCCTGTCTTCCATGATAGACAGTAATATGGAAGTGTAAGCCAAATAAACCCTTTCCTCTCCAACTTGCTTCTTTTTAATTATTTGTTTTGTTTTTAAAATGAAAACAAGCTATCTTTTTTTTTCACTTTACATACCAATCCCAGTTCCTACTCCCTTCCCTCCACCTTCCTCCACACCCTCATCTACTCCTAAGAGATGGTAAGGCACATTGCTTTGGGGAAGATTCAAGGCCCTCCCTACTATATCTAGACTGAGCAAGACATCCATTCAAAGAGAATGGGTTCCCAAAAAGCCATCACAAACAGAATAAATCCTTGGGCCGCTGCCAGTGACCCTGCAGTCGGTCTCAGCTATACAACTGTAACTCACATTCAGAGGGACTAGTTTGGTCCTATGCTTGTTCCTTCCCAGTCTGGCTGGAGTTGGTGAGCTCCCATTAGCTCAGGTAGACTGTTTCAGAGGGTGAAACCTTCATGGTCTTGACCAATTTGCTCCGTAGTACTCCATTAGGTAAATGTGCCACCTTTTTTTTTTTTTAATTCATTCTTTGGTTGAGGGGCATCTAGGTTGTCTCCAGGTTCTGGCTATTACAAGTAATGCTTTGTGAACATAGTTGAACACATGTTCTTGTAGCATGATTGAGCATCTTTTGGGTATATGCCCAAGAGTGGTATTGCTGAGTCCTGAGGTATGTTGATTCCCAGTTTTCTGAGAATCAACTTGATTCTCAGAAACATACTGATTTCCAGAGTGGTTGTCCAAGTTTGCATTCCTACCAGCAATGAATGAGTGTTCCCCTTACTCCACATCCTCTCCAACATAAGCTGTCATTGGTATTTTTGATCTTAGCCATTCTAACTAGTGTAAAATGGCATCTCAGGATTGTTTTGGTTTGCATTTCCCTGATGGCTAAGGATGTTGAACATTTTCTTAAGTGTCTTTCAGCCATCTGAGATCCTTCTGTTGAGAATTCTCTGTTTAGTTCTGTACCCCCATTTTTAATTGGATTATTTGGAATTTTGATGTCTAATTTATTAAGTTCTTTCTATATTTTGGAGATCAGTCCTCTGTCTGATGTGGGGTTTGTGAATATCTTTTTCCATTCAGTAAGCTGTCATTTTGTCTTATGACTGTGTCCTTTCCTTTACAGAAACTTCTCAGTTTCAGGAGGTCCCATGTATTTATTGTTGCTGTCAGTGTCTGTGTTACTGGTGTTATATTTAGGAAGTGGTCTCCTGTGCCCATGCACTGAAGGTTACTTCCCACTTTCTCTTCCATCAGATTCAGTGTGGGTGGATTTATATTGAGGTCTTTAATCTATTTGGATTTGAGTTTTGTGCATAGGGATAGATATGGGTCTATTTGCATCTTCTACATGTTGATACCCAGTCATGCCAGCACCATTTGTTGAAGATACTTTCTTTTTTCCATTGTATAATTTTTGCTTCTGTAGCTCCCTTCAACCTCTTGGAGGAGTGTGCAGTGTCATCCTTGTAGGGCTCAGGATTTAGATTGTGGTTTTGGAATAATCTATTCCTTTAATTCAAACTAGTTACATGATCTGCTGCTAAACAAAACAAAACAAAACAACAACAACAAAAAACCAAACTACCCCTTCGGTTGCTGAAGGAAAAATCTTGGCTTCTTTGGACTCATTAGATCTGTTCCCAATGAATAAAGTCATATGTGAGAATTCCAGGATGCTTGGGAAGGGGAAAAGGTGATTCTGCACCATTTTCATTATAATTGATTTTTTCCCCTCACCTTCCAGATTAGAGCCCAACACACTAGGGGTATTGACCTTTCTTGTTACATCCATTTCCCTGATATCATTTGCATTTATTTTAGAATTCGTAGGGTAGTATTTTGTTCTGACAAGATAATTCAAGATTTCTGATTGTATCTCTTTGACTGCCTATAAAGGTTTTTAAGGCGGCAGAGCACCTGTGCAGGCCCAGGGGGAGCAGCAGAGCAGCGGCGCAGGTGGCAGCAGACCGGAGTAGGAGGCGGCAGACAGCGAGGACCAGCGCACAACACCGAGAGCAGATCGCCCCACGACAATTAAAGCAAAGAGGTAGGCCTTTGGTTGGCGAGGTCCCTGGCAATTATGGATCCTGTTCCTGTTCCTGAAGATTCTTTTGAGGGGCTAGAGGGAATTTGGCCCCTGGCAGGATCCAGGAAACAGAGCGACAGCATTTTGTAAGAGGAGCCCCTGGCCAACAGGGAAACCTGATCCGGTTTTAAAAGACCCATTAGATAGCTTCGATAGGAGGAGATGGGCAGGTGCTAAGGCAAGAATTCACCCAATAATCCGAAAAACAACATGAAAACACCAGAACCCAATGATCTTACAACAGATGGACTTGAACACCCTAATATGGAAGGACTGGAAAAAATTGACTTTATGAAAGCAATAGAGTCCATTAAACAACATGTGAAAAATGCCCTTATAGAAATGGAT